GTACCACCATGGTGGGAAGCTAACGGTGTTCCATGTCTAGTCACGCTGGCCACATGACCACAAAAACTGTTTTCAGAGAAACGCTGGCTCTATGGCTTGGAAACGGGGATGAGCATTGCGCCCTAGAGTCGGACACGACTGGACTAAATGTCAAGGGGAACCTTTACCTTTACCCAGTGTATGTGCATTTGTGTAAAGGGAGAAAGTTTGTACTTTGGAAATGGAAGGGCAAGAAGAATAAATAATCATTGTTTGGATCCATCTTTTATTCCCCAAACAGAAATGTTCCTATTTCTGTTTGTGTGCCGTTTGTGTTGTCATCATTACTATACATTGAATGGGCTTCGAACCAGTCAGCCGTCTTTTTGGTCTTCTTGCCAAATGTGGACAAGGCAGTGTTATAAACAGCGTTCTTGAAGTGTTCCCATCGTTCAGGTGCATTCGCATCAGCCGGGCCTGGAAGGGTTTCCTGAAGCGCTTGGGCAAATTCCTCCACTTTTCTTTGATTGTGAATCTTGTTGATATCTATACGTGGCCTTCCTTCCTTTTTAGTGTGATACAATCTCTTTGTTTGCAGTTTTATTCTGCTACACACCAGGGAATGATCAGTATCACAATCAGCATCCTGGTAACTGCGTGTGATCATAATACTAGATAGGCTAGAACGTCTAGTGAGGATCAAATCAAGCTGATGCCAATGCTTCGATCTTGGATGTCTCCAGGAAACTTTGTGTTGAGGCTTTGTATTAAAGAACGTGTTGGTGACACAAAGACCATAATAACAGCAAAACTCCAGCAAGCGTTGGCCATTTTCATTCATCTTCCCAATGCCAAAACGGCCTAGACAGGTGGGCCAAGAGTTGTGATCAGCACCAACTCTAGCGTTAAAGTCTCCGAGAATGAACAGCGGCTCTCTCTCAGGGACTTTTTTGATAGCAGCTGCCAAATCATCATAGAATTTGTCTTTGACTTCTGTTGTGGATGACAGTGTTGGTGCATATGCACTGATGAGGGTGACCAGTCCCGCTGATGACTGGAGCTGCAGAGACAGGATTCTTTCACTCCCCACAGTAGGTGGAAAAATGGATCTCAGCAGAGTATTTCTGATAATGACAGCAAAGAAAGGAGAAGGCCTTTGTTGAGTCCAATCTCACAACTTGCAGCTTGGATAATTACAGTGAAGGAATCATATGCCACTGTTTCCATTGCATCCACAGTCTCACCTGCTCAGTTTTTTTAAATGTTGGTGGTGGGTAGAGGGCCTTTGTATTCTGCCATTTTTAAGAAGGTTTAAAGGTTAGAAACCTTTATTGCTTGCTCAGGATCATTTTTCTCCTGAATTTGTTGATGAAAGTGTTAACCTCTCCTCCAAACTTGACATCACAATCATTTCATTTGATAGCAGAGTTTCATTTAGGTTTAAAGCCACCTCAAGTCAGATTTTATTGGATAAACTGACATCCAGGGAGATGGTGAGAAAACATGCTTCTATTATCCTACATGTGGAAGACAGGAGGGCCTGGCGTGCTCTGGTCCATGGGGTCATGAAGAGTCGGACACGACTTAACAACTAAACAACAACAAATTATTCTACATTGTACCTATCGGACATGTGTCCATTGTGGCTTTTATTGAAGATGTGGCAGAATGGTTGGACTGCTGGATGAATAAATTATTGAAGGAGGTGAGCTGTTCCCACTATCCTAGAAGAACCAGTGTTGGGCTGCAGCATTAAGAAATTGTAAGTAATCAGTATTGATCAAAGTGACCAGACTCAGGCTAAACAAGTGCTAAGTACTCCTAGATTATCTCAGTCACTGAGACCTATTTTAATCTGTTTTAGTGAGATAGCTATGGCTAACTTTGTTAATAATCTTCACTGGCAGACAGATGCAGAAATCCAGCTTTGTGGATAATCTTGGACTTTTCAGGTATGCTGCATTTACCAGTGGTTCAGTGATGGCTGCTACTAAGGATGGCCGAATCTCCCCGTTTCTCTTTCTCTCGGTTTCTCTTTTTTCTAGTCATATATTCATTCTACTTCTGCAAAAAGTTACAATTTATTTTTTACTGCAGTTTTCTCTTAGCAATTTATTTTTGCACACATTTTTGCTTAGTATATTGCTTATTGTTTCCCCGAAAATAAGACAGGGTCTTAATTTTTGCAACAAAAACCACATTAGGTCTTATTTTCAGGGAATTTTTTTTTCATGTACAAGTAACTACATTTATTCAAATACAATCATGCCATCTTCTTCTGGTTGCTGCACAATGGTGGAGGGCTGAGTTTCACTTAACTTGGGCTTTTTTTGGGGTAGGGTTTATATTATGAGCATCCTGTAAACTCATACTAGGGCTTATTTTCAGGTTAGGTCTTATTTTCGGGGAAACGGTATGTTTTCCAAGTAATTATCCAAAGTATGTAGTTTAAATTTTATTTTCACCGAAGGAGGTGTTTATACTTCCTCTAGAATAAATATTTGTGTGGTGGTGTTGTAGGTTCAGTCAGAGAACTACACTGTAGAATTTTAAGACTAAAAACTGAAGAATAACTGTCTTTCAGTTTGCGTATTGATCTGGAAAGGGAAAATTAGGTAAGTTTGCTGGAAAAGCTTACATAGGATTCCTCAGGGATCAGATTTATCTTCTGTGTAAACCACTGGGAGGAACCTGCTTGAGCTTTGAGTGCATCATCATTCTTGACTGACTTTTGAAATCAATAAACCTGCAACCAGCAAATATTCATAAAATTATATGTTAAATAAATCCATTGTGAAGCATTTTGGAATAAAAGATTCATTTTAGTCACTCAGAATAGAATGAATAGTCAGACTTAATAGTGGAGGGCGGTACCTCTGAAAATCAGTAATGGGTTAAAGAAGGTGAAATAAATTGAAATTTAATAAGGGTTCTAGCAAATTTTGATGGACTCTGACTGGGTGTGTTGTATTTATCCCACTACTGAGATAATTGTTGCTGGTTTAGCTTTTGTCATTCACTCTGATTGGAATAATATAATGTTTTCAGTATTGGTCTTCAATTTAAAAGTACGTGTTATGTGAGAATCCATTTATCAATTCTTAAATACATAATAATTATTGCAGATATATAGGCTTGCAACCATGAGCTTGTTCTAATGTACTATATTTTAGGCCTCAGTATGCAATGAGTGGCTTAAATTTTTATCATTTAGCTTCACTACCTTTGTAATTCAGAAGACTTCCAGTTCAGGAAACATAAAATAAAATAAAGATGCTTTACTAGAGCATTGCTTTGACAGACCATACATTTATCTCCAAGACTGCAAAATGACACCACCGCTGATTGTGTCTTCAGTTGTCCATATGATGTATGTCATGTCTTGTTATTATAACGTTGTCTGTGCCAGCTATATCTGAGCTGTCAGCTTTCCCCCCCATGTCTCCAATGTACAGATGACACAGCCAGAAGGGACATCTCTGCTTGCATTTCTTCCAAGCCTTTGTACTAGTAAAAACAGTCACTCAGATAAATCTGTTAACAAGAGAGAATCTTTGGCAGAAATACTGCTACAGATTCTGAGAATTCTGCATTCCAGATCCTTCCCCACCTTACCTTCTGCTTTGCAGAAGCATTTTCATAAGTAATAGTGAAGTGGTTGAATTATCAATACTTATTAAATTCTGCTTCGTCACTTTTTGCCACCAGATTGGATATGATTGGCACCATTAAGGCACACTTAAGTTTATATTTGCCCTTGCAGAATGGTACAGTATTGCCAGCAACTCAAGATATACTGATTTTTGCTACCACAATGTTACATTAATAGATGTTTTGTATCCGGTACAGGTCCTGTGATAGAACGCTAGGTCAAGTGAGGTTAGGCAAAGGGCTGGTGAAGAGCCAAAAGACAATCCCAAGAGAGCATCTGGGATAGATATCCAAGAATTACAGATGGAAACATGCCAGTGCTGTACAAGCAAGTTAGGATGAAGGGAAAGTGTCAGAGAGCAGGGAATTATTTTAACTCAGGTCTTGGTTCTCCCTTGGACTATAAGAACTTCCTTTTTTGCCTCTGCTTGTCAGTTTGTCACTTTCCAGCCATCTTTATTTCTTAGTTTCCTTGCTTTATTCACAGGGAATCGTCAGTTGTAAGGGGTTTGCCCTTGGTCAAGGGAATTGTTTTCTGCCCCCAAAGCAGAATCTGCTCCTGCACTTCCCTCTGTCCCATTCTGGAACTCACTGATGAAAATATGGGCCAGGTACCTGCTGCCTCTTTGACAAGATTCCTGCTGCCCTGTTTGTTGCCTTTCTGCTTGGGCATGAAATTTATAAATGCAGCTACATTGCATACATCAAGAAAACAATGCAGAACATGAGGTGTGATAAATAGCAAGCTTATCAATATACTGTTCCTGGCCTAGGGAAACTGTGAGGGAAGATTGCCTCAATAAGGGTGAAAGTCATATTTAAATGACCTCCTAGCTATATGTGAGCCACTGAGGTTGACATGTTTACCTGATTTTATGTCATCTTCGTTAGTTTAGCTGCTCAATAATTGCTGCTCCTTTTTTCGATTGAGGCTGATGTAAGTGGATCATGCAAAGATACAATCTGACTTCTGACATTGCTGAGAATTCTTTTATTCTGGCAGATTTATGTCATATATGCCAGATAAAGTTTTGTGGTTTTTTAAAAATGAAATTATAATTTCACAGTGTTGCTAACCAACCTGAATACTACGCTTGCACTAGAACAGTGCTATAATTAGGCTTATATCATACTTTTGCATCAGTTTGTCTTTGAAAGCAGAACCATGTGGATTTGTGTTTACATTTCAATTGGTTTCAAAATGAAGATAGTCTTCCAAAATTATATGATTGGATCTTATCCTTCAAAGGTTTTCAGCCAAAATAGAGGCCTGGATGCATATTTGGTGTTACACTCAAGGTAAGTGTTATGCTTAGCAGAATGACATCTTTTGGACTTATAATTATGATGATGATTTGTGTCTTGTTTAGCTGAAGAAGATTGGAGGTGGTGGCTTTGGGGAGATTTATGAGGCCATGGATCTTTTGACCCGTGAGAATGTGGCTCTGAAGGTGGAATCAGCTCAGCAGCCCAAGCAAGTTCTGAAGATGGAAGTGGCTGTATTGAAAAAGCTACAAGGTATTAGAAAATTTCATTTTGGAAAGAATATATTTTAGAGCATATATTGCTTTTTATGTACGTATATTTGCAAGAATGTGCCACTGGAGACCAAGATGAAGATAATCTACACTAAATTATTCCTGATTACAATGTACAGTTGTGAAAGCTGGACAGTGAAAAAAGTTGACAGGAAGAAATGACTTATTCAAAATACAGTGTTGGAGGAGAGCTTTGTTGTTACCATGGACCACCAGAAAATAAGTGAGCTCCAAATCAAATCAAGCTTGAATTCCCCCTAGAAGCAAGAATGTTTAAATTGAGGCTATTGTACTTCTGGAACATCTTGAAAATACATGAATCGTTAAAAAAGACAATGAAGAGAAAAGTTGAAGGTAGTCAGTAAAGAGGAAGAGCAAATAAGAGGTAGAATTACTCAATAAAGAAACTACAGCCTTACAAGTATTAAGTGGGGCTGTTGACGATAGGACTTTTAGGAGGTCATTGATTGATAGAAGCACCATATAAATCAGAAGCGACTTGGTGGCACATAGCAACAGACATTTACTTTTAAACTTATGAATTTAATTTTGTATGAAAACTTTTGATTAAAAAAACCCTGCAAACATTATTATAATATGTTCATTTCTAAAATATTTCAGCCTTAGTTTTTTCTAATATTACAACTTATTCTATTATGTTTTACTATCATAATATTATATTCTTAACTGTGTATCTATTTAATTAATGTTGTGAGCCACCTTACGTCCTACATGGAAAGAAAGATGGAGAATACAATAAAATAAATTAATAAAGATAAATAAGTAAGGTCTGATTAATGACATGTATTGGCATCTGTCTTTATTGTTTGCAGGAAAAGATCATGTTTGCAGATTTATTGGCTGTGGGAGGAATGAGAAGTTTAACTATGTTGTTATGCAGCTTCAGGTGAGTTCTTCTGCATTCTGTTTTTCTAGGATTCCACAAGTATGATTGTGAAATTTTGTTTGGTAGCCAGGTAGCTCTTCAAGTTGGCTGGATTCATGCATAAGCACAGTTTCTTCATAATGTGCTGTATTATGGGGAGAAGCTTTTTTAAACAGAGGAATCCCTACACAGAGCACATTATGAAGAATCTAGAGAGAGGAGGGTTCTCACTTTGAATTGTGTAAGAGATGTAGTTCCTGCCTTTTTAAAAAGAGTCCTCCATAATGTTTCATGTTTAACTAGTGGAAATGGGGTGGAAACTTTAAAATTAGTATTTCAGTGATGAGTTAAACCAGATATTTGCTCATTTTGGAACCATGTCTAATGCACTGATTTGATTGCAATACTTCAGCAAGTTGTATAACAATGGTTTGCTGTTGTGAGAGGAAGGCAGTTTGATGAAGGTGCTAGGATGAAGCCTCACACCATCTTTTAAACTTCAGGTGGATTCTTGTAAAACAAGGTCTTTAACAAAATGCCTAGGGCAAAATCATCTTGGAAATCACAGAGCATAATACTTCTGTGGGTGTAGCACTCTATATGATCTCCAGCTTGTAGTTATGTGAACAAGAGACTGATTGGTTCAAAGCAGCAGGGTTTCCATTTGAGATAGAGGTAGTACAGTGGTGCCTCGCAAGACGAGGTTAATGCATTCTGCAAAAATCGCTGTCAAGCAAAATCGTCGTTAAGCGAAACACGGTTTTCCATAGAAAAGCATTGAAAACCGGATAATCCGTTCTAATGGGAACGGATTGTCATCGTAAAGCGAAAATCGCCATAGGAAACATCGTTAAGCAAAACGCGTTTCCCAAGTGAAGACAGCCATCTAACGAAACAGCGACCATTTAAAAACCCGTTGTGAAGCAAACCTGAGCTGTCAAAACATCGTAAAGCGAAAATCGCCCATAGGAAACATCGTTAAACGGAGCGTAAGATCGCTCCGAAAACCTCATCGTAAAGCGAATTCATCGTTAAACGAAGCAATCGTCTAACAAGGCACCACTGTACATATTCTTGCGCAAATAGAAGGGAGAGAGCAGTTGCATATCCATCGGACCATTAACCATATAGTAAAATCAAACTGGATGTTATCCTTTCTGTTTGTTTGTTTGTTTGTTTGTTTGTTTGTTTGTTTGTTTGTTTGTTTGTTTTACATCCCGCCCATCTAGATTGAAGTCTACTCTGGGCGGCTAACAAAGTTTAAATCTGAGCAATGTCCTCTTCATTTCTTTTAGGATTTTTGTCCTCTAGACATTTTAACATGATTTTAACTCTGTTTTGAATCCCTTCTGAGTGGAAGTGCCATCTAGTTCTAAACACAGAAATCCCAAGTAGTCATGATCACAGCTGGCCTGTGATACTTTGGCCCCTGAGAAACCCAAAAAAGCATTTTATGATAAATTTAAAAATATGATGCCTTCTGCCTCTTCATTTCATTATACCTTGTGATACAGCCATGGTCATGGCTGTTATTTAGGAAGACTGACAAACACTGTGTGCTATTGTTTCAACCAGAACTAGTCACCTGACAGTGCAGAGGCGGACCCAAGCCATATTGCTGCTTTAGATGAAGACCAAGCTGACTTCCTCACCCCTGTTTCATATATAGAATCATCAAGTGATAAGAGTTGGAAAGGGCCTCTAAGGCCATAAAGTCCAACCTCCTGGTCATGCAGGAATCCATATCAAAGTACAGTAGATCTTTGATGCCTAATTTTCTCTTGAATGTTTCCAGCACTAGAGCACTTAGTGTCTCCAAGGTAATTAGTTCAATTGTTGTACTGCTCTTCACTGGAATTTTTTCCTGATATTTTGCCAAAATCTGGCTTCCTGTAATTTGAGCCCATTGTTAAGTGTCCTTCATTCTGAGATGATTGAGAACAGATCCTGCCCCTCTTCCTCATACTGTATACTATCTTTTAAGTACAGTATATGAAAAGAGTTACCCTATCTCCCCTCAGTTTCCTTTTCTCATGACTAAACATGCCCAGATTTTTTAGTCTGTCCTGATAGAGCTTGGCTTTCAGTCCCTGATCATCCTTGTAGCCTTCCTCTGAACTTTTCCCAGCTTGTTTGCATCCTTCTTAAAATGAAGTGGGAACTAGAACTTCACGGGATTTGGGGACTCATTTCACTCAATGCAGCCTAAAATAGCATCTGCCTTTTTTATAGCTGCATCAGACTATTGGTTCATATTCAGCTTGTGATCTACAACAATCCAAAATCCTTCTCACTCATAGTATTACTGAACCAAGTATCTTTCATCTTGTAACTTTTTTAAATTTTAAAACTACAACAACTAATAAACAGTAAAGCATAAGATAAACAAAACTAAAAGAAAAAAACAAACTACATACACAGTACACCCTGGGAACATTAAGCAGTACAGTGGTGCCCCGCATAGCGACGTTAATCCATTCCGGATTAATCGTCGCTATGTGGAAACATCGCTAAACGGAACGGAAAAACCCATAGGAACGCATTAAACTTCGTTTAATGCGTTCCTATGGGAATAAACTCACTGTTCAGCGATGTTCCTCCATCGGGGTGGCCATTTTCGGTGCCTCTAAAGCAAGGCAACACAGCGGGGCGGCCATTTTGGAACCGCCGACCAGCTGACCGAAAATGGGGCCTTTGGCATTTTCCCCCAGCTGAGCGGCGGGAGCTTCAAAGGCCCGCCGCTCAGCTGGGAGAAAATGTCGGCAATCGGTTGCTTTGGAAGGACCCCGAAGCCACCGC